TTCCTGCTAAATCAACGCAGTGATTATGACTAGGCAGAGGATGAGGTGCTTCTTTCTGTATCAGATATTGAAACCTCCACTGCTTGCCACTTGCAAACAGCAACCATCCAGTCAAATGGTCACTGCCTGAGATTGCTATGGCTACCTCAGTGAACCCAAAGAGCTGCAAATCTGCCTAGCCAATCCTCAGCTGCTTTGAGGCAGGTTGAAATAACAATGAAAGTCCATATCACTCACTGCCTAGCATATTCCTGGGAAATTAAAAAGCATTTTTTAGCTACTTGAGGTCAAACCTTGAGTAGGTTTAACAACAGAACAGAAAACCAACAAAGCACAATCCAAAAATTAGGGCAAAAAACAAGAATGAGTGATGACCTATATGCCCATTAGGAGCAATATATGCCCGCCTTTGTGGAGCATGTGAAGAAGTATTCACAAAACGCATAAAAGAGCTAAGTAGGTTGCAAGTGTAAAATTAAGGACCACACTCCCTTCTGACTGTTAGTCATTATTATCAGTTTTCCAGTGCCTTTGTAGTTACTAGGGCTATCAAATGATTTAAAAACTTGACCTCGATTAGTTGTGCGACTAAAAAAATTAGTCGCAATTAATCACTATTTTAATCACATGGATAAAAACTCAAATTAGGCAAAATGATGCAGGTACTTTGTATGGTTGGGGGTGTGTGCGCAGTGTGTGTGGGGTGGGAATCTGTGAAGGCGTGGAGGGATGTGGGTGTGTGTATGGGGTTTGGAGCCTGGGGAGGAGGGGACCCCACACGCCCTGGTAGGATGTGGGGTACTGTTGGTCAAGAGTGAGGGGCAGCAGCAGGGCTGGGGGGCTTATGGCTTGGGAGTGAGAGGCAGGGCACAGGCATATCACTGCCCCAACAATCATATTATACTGCCTCATGGGTGTCCTCTTCTTTAAAACTGGAAATGTGGTAATCCTATCAGAATGCAGCCCAGTAGCATGTAGAGTAGGGCCCAGAAGGTAAGTCTGTGGAGGGGAAGGGGCGGGGGGGAGAGGGAAAGGGGGAAGCAGATCAAGAACCCCACAGTGAGGGAAGAAGTGGGGCAGGGGCAAGTACAGGGGCTGGGATGAATAGGATCCTGTGCCTGGAGCAGATCATGGGACAAAACTGCAGGAGGTTTGCCCAAGGATGCAGGGTGGGGAGTGGGGGGCTTCCCTGCTGCTGCGTACACCCCCAGGGGAGGCATGGGGAACATGTGCCTCCTAGATTTGTGCATGGGGTGGAGGCAGGCTGCTCACTGCAGGCTGGGGCTCTACACCCTTTGTCCCAGAAGCCGCACACTGGCCACACCTCGCATTCCCTGCCCACCTGGCATTAGGAAGCACAACATGGTGTTGCGTGGCTCCTGGGGCAAAGGCAACATGGCGCAGAGTCCCAGCCCACAGAGGCCAGCCCACCTCCACTCCATGCACAAATCTGGGGGGCACATGCTCTCCATGTCTCTCCCACGAGTGCATGCAGTGGTGGGGAGCCGCACCCACTTCCTGTGCCACTGGATGAGCCTCCTGCAGCTCTGTCTCATGATCCACACTGGTCCTGGGGCCCCATTCACCCCTACCCCACTCCCTCCCTCACCGTGGGGTCCTTGATCTGCCCCCACTTCCTCTCTACAGACTTACCTGCTGGGTGCTGCTCTACCCACTGCTGGGCTGGGGGGAGAGAGAGAGAGAGAGAGAGAGAGAGAGAGAGAGAGAGAGTGTGTGTGTGTGTGTGTCCTCCTTCCCCCCACCATCCTGCTCCAGTCACCCAGAACCCACACCTGGGCTGCTATACAGCTCCTCTGCACTGCTACCACTGCCCTACTGGGCAGCCTGGAGGCAGCGGTGATGGTGGCAGAGTGATGTCCTGGCATGGGCTCCAAAACCATGTATATAATGAATGTGTTAAAAAAATTAATGCAAGAACCAATTAATGCATTAATTGTGTATGTTAACAATGATTAATTGAGAGCCCTGGTAGTTACTTATTGTTGCAGAAAGCATTAATGAGTGGGAAAAACACTCAACATTACTATGATCAAGATTTATTCCTTCTCTGTTTTCCTTCCTTTTACAGTTCCCATTGCATCACTTTGTCTTACCCCCCCCCCCCCCCAGTATATCCTTCCGTACAGCAACTCTGACATCTCACCCAAGGTGCATAGGCTTCACTTCTACCCCATGGGCCATTTCATTAGGAGTAATATAATTCAGACATTAAAACAGGATTAATATTAAGAGGGGTACCTCTCACAGAGTCATTACTTCTGATTGTATGTAGATTCAAGATAGCAACATAGCATTTCTTTCCACTGGGATCACATCTGGAAGACTGTCTTCACAACAATGAGAGCAAGAAATATGCCTTTTTAATGAAAGCTAATATTATGCGGACCACATCATACTCAAGAATATATCCAGCAGGCTGGGCTGGGCTTGTGGGCTGGGTTTTTTTGGCACATTTGCTCCAGAACAGAAAAGAATAAACATTTCAAATGGGCTAACACCCTGATTTTTTTTAATACCTTTTGTTATTCACTATGAAAGACAAAATGTTATATGCAAACATATTAATTCAGAAATAAAGAACTCACCAGAAATATTCTTTCAAGTTGGTCTTGAATGTCTTTCATTCCAGGAAAAGCAGCAACTCCTTGGATCATTTCTACAAAGATACAACCAACTCCCCTATAAATATATAAAAAAAGTATAGAATGTGATAAAATATTTTCTTGAGGTTAAATCATTAAGATACAAAAGTGTTTTGTCTTCATCACTAATGTCACAGTACCATCCTCAACTGTTTATGAGTGACAGGATGACAACTGAAATGCATGGGTTGCTAAAAAATAATCTATACCTTTAAAATACGTATTCTTTAATTTCACTTTGTTCCCAAGAAGTCAAACATTGGAAATATAAACAGTGGGGAGGGGGGGGTTGTATCCTGCATGTTTCCAGTAAGTCAGAAAATATGACCAAATATTTATAGATGCTAGTTAAGCAAGATAATTAGTACACTACGTATCGCACATCATTATGACTGCTATTGACTGATATAATTTTATTTTAAAGTGAATTATGTGTGATAATCAGATTTTTTATATATAACATTACTTTTCAATTATTTCTTAAAGATTAAATATCTCAATCAGCTATTTTCATTAGCCCCTAGAAAATGAAGAAAACACAGCCAACACAGTGCAAATCTGTCCCTGGTCACATCCAGCAGATTTTAAAAAGGAGGGATTAAAATTATGTTCCTTATGCCCTTGTTGGTTACTGAAGAAACTGAATTGATTAAACTGCCACTCATCATTTACTCTGGTTAGTGCTTCATTAGGCACAGAGAAGCACAATATATCTTCGTCAAATACTTATAAGCAGTATTTAGATTTCAAGAAAGGAAAATTTCAAGATTTTGGACAGGAGCCATTTACTCAAGATAAGAAATAAACAACTGCATTTGGTCTAGAGACAAGAGGATTAGACTTCTATTTTTGCAACCAGCCAGCACTTTGATTATATTAGTTTATCATTTTAGACCATGTCCAGATAGAGACAGACAAACACTAAAAGCACATTTGTACTGAAATGCAATAAAAGCAAGCAAAAACAAAATGTTAGCAAAAATTTTATATACTAATCTCACAGACTCTTACTGTTACAATCAATGGAACTTGACTCAGGTATGGAATGAAAATTGGATGAATTGCTAACAGAAATTTTAATAAAGAGTAAGATCTCTACTTGGAAGCATCACAAGGACATATCTGCCATAACACTTTATTTTATTAATACACTGAAAGAAGGTGGAAAGGCACAGCAGTTGAACTAATAGATAAAACTAAAGCAGAAGGTGTAGTTAAACATCACTGAGGAGAGAAACCACAAGATGATTTCTGCCTTGATCTGGAAGTTATGATCACACCAGCCACAATCTAGAAAATCACTTCAATGTACACTGAATTATAAGCATAAAAGTTGTCCAATTGTGTCAGATTGTGCCCTGGAGAAGATACACATTTGAACAAAAAATAATAAAAATGAGATTCCTCCTGAGGAACTACAAGAAAATAAATAGTGTCAAAAATAAATCTTAAGGAAAAACAAAATGAATTATAGGTAATTTTCTACATGGGAAAGAACTTGTAAACTGCTGTGTCAGATGAGGACTTGGGGGTGATAAGGCTGACAGAAAGACCATGGGATTAACAGGAATCTTTTTGTTCAAAAGCTTCAGTTGGCTTTAATCAGGCCCATAATGGACAGGAAACTGAAAATGAGCATATAATATGATTATTAAGCCAAACAAGCAAAAGCAGTGTTTTGTGTTGTAAATACACACAGACATCAAAACTCTACACAGCCTTGCAATTCTGTGTATACTCCTAGGCAGCCCTGAACAGAAAAAGTGTTAACAGAATGACTTTTAAGCAAATTCTAATAGTAATTTTCAATTGCTGGAAAAATTGGCTTGTAAGGAAAAATCAAATGTACTGAGTAACTCTTAGCTACAACAGTGGCTAAGGGGTGGGAAGGACATAACCATATGAACATATATATGAAATGTATGAATAGCAAAGAAGGAAGAATTCATTAAAATTTCATTGGTCTGAAGTACTGCAGATATATCTGAGAGGAGGATATAACTCAGAGTAATGGGTAAATGTAAGTATAAAATTTAGGACATTGGGGAAAATTACTGAAAAGCATGGTCAATTATACTGTACAAATAAGTCTCCCAAAGTCACGCAAAACCAGACTTGCTGAAATATATCGGGCCCCTATACATGAGCAGCAAGGCTGCTCTGACACACTGAAATTACTTGATTAATCAAGCCTGTTGAAGCGTGGTAATTACCGCACTAGAGTGGACTCCAGCGTCTCATGCATCAGTGTCCCCATGCTGAAAAATGGCAGCAGAGGCGCTTTAACTAAAGCTCGTTTGACAAGTTTTAGTTAAGGTGCCCCACTGCCATTTTTCAGCGTGGGGATGATGATACACAAGACACTCTGGCTGCTTTAATTAGAGAGCCACTTTTATTAAAGGTCCCTCCCCCGACTCCTGGACCACGTGTATAAATGGCCTTTAAGCCTATCTTGCTCAAAACAATCTCGCAGGAAAAAGTAATGGGACAGGATGAGCTAACACATCTTTCTCATCCCTGATCTTCACTATGCTAGATTATTTGTTCATATTTCACATTTCAAGCAGTAACCTTTGCTTTAAGTGTGTGTGTGTGTGTGTGTGTGTGTGTGTATCCTGCTCTCCCATCACCAAATTTCTAGACCCCTGGGAAACCCCACAGGCTATATGACATGGTGCTGCAGGCTGGATCTGGCCTGCAGGCTGGAGGCCCTATATCCCTGGCCCACACACATACACACACTATAGCCATTATTGTGCAGCTTTCCCTAATGTTTTCAGCAAAGTATTTCAGAAAGTATTTGTGCATCAGCAAAGACCATTAGCAATAGTTTAATCAACTTGATCTCGATGCTCTGATTCCCTTTGGGGAAGATCTGAATTTTGAGAACTATGCTGAATGGCTGTTTTTTGGGATATTCAACTCAGGAATCTTTGATGAGCTAAGTAGAATAACCTGGCAAAGAAAACATAACTGAAGCTTAAGTGACAGCCATTTAATGTTGAAACGGGTGACTTACCCTCCAATGACAACAAGCATGACTAATCCTATTGATGTATTGATAAGACCATGAGTCCATACTGTCTAATATAGCTCTACCACTGTCCTGCCTAATTTCCTAGGATTTTAGCTGTCGCCTTACTACATTAGATGCAGAATAATACAACATAAGAGTTCAAGCTTTAACTCAGTGAATTACTCTTAAATTTCAGTTTAGATGGCAAATGAATACCTGATGTGAAGTTGAGGTATCTAAATACATTTCATTTTTCTGCAGAGTACTTGTAAACTGAGAACCCCATTTTGTAAAAACTAACTTTATTTTCTGGCTGTTGCATTTGTTTTTAAGAATTCTGAAGACATACCTGTACACAGCAGTGGACATAATGCTACAATCCATCAGATTGAATTATTAAAGTCTTTGTATTACTTTCCTTCACACAACACTACCTACAAATCTAAGATTAACAATTGATAGTTTATTACTTCTCAAGAGCTTCATATGAGAATATAGTCTCATTTTTGTTTAATGATTGTTTTTACAATTTTTTTTTTGTTTCATTTAAGTACAGATGTTAAAATTTGTAGGGACAGCTAGATATCCTAGTTATAATATATGTTGTACTTTGTGCCCTAAACAGGCAGGTTTTTCAGAGTTTTTTCTTTTTAGTTAAAAAGTGACTTCATTCATCATGATGTCACTCCACACAACAGACTTTTATGTTTTAAAAATCCAGAAGATCTGACATGAAGCCTTATTTAAGATTGCAGGATATAGCTAACTATGAGATATAGGTGATTATTTCAGTACTTATAAGTATTTAACAACAATACTTATAAAATTCACAAAATGAACAATTCAGATTATGGTGGGGAGGGGTTGTTTGTTTCTTTGTTACTGCTGTTATAATAGCAGCAGGTAAAATATGCTTGGCATTTTCTACATCACCACCAAGAGGCAATATTGGAGTACTGAATGCTTTAACAAATACCAAATGCAAACTCTTCAGGAACAATAGCTATACTTCATATATCAAAAAGCAAAAGCACTACACCCTCCATTCCCAACATTAGCGGCTTGACAAAGAAAATTTTACATAGATTTCCTTTCAGCTACATTATTAAATTGGAAGTGATATATATCCAATATTTTTACCCAGAGGAAAGCTACTGTTTTCTAGAGAATGTGTGTATGTTCATTATACCTCTGATAAATTACTGTAAAGGATAAATATGTTTTATTTTGATTATTAAACTTAGAGAAATGAAATGTTGGTTTTGATTACCAATGACTAAGAATGTGGTTATCTGAAAAAACAAACAACTTCTCGTATGAACTCAGGTCCCACTGAAATAAACAACAAAAAGAGTCTTCACTTCAATGGACTTTCACCTCCATTTTGCAGAGGTTTTTCTGTCTCATGGAATTAAGAATCTATGACTCCTACTGATGGGTTTGATAGTTTACAGAAATATGCCATTTGACTGTATGAAGCTAGGGGGGTGATTGCTAAAGTTGAGTGAATATTTTCCAGCAATAAATGGGGTGTTAAACAATACTGTTTAAATTTCAGAACAACTAAGGAACAGCGCAGAACAGTACTGGCCCCATGGCACCTGGTAAAGTACTCTAATCAGTTTAACGCACAAAACTGGACAATTTTTGACTAAAGGTGTGATGTTATATTGATTTAGTTACACCAATCAAAATAATATGTGGACACTATTCTTACTTCCTGAAATAAATTTAGCTCGTCTCTTTTACAACTTCTGTGTATAGATAAACTCTGAGACTCATGGGATATGGACAAACAAACATTTGGAGCCATATCAAATGGGGGATGTTTTAAAAGGGAATCTGTTGGATTGGGAAAGTGCAGCAGCTGTTACACTGTAACAGTTTAAGAGATTGTACAGTAGAATTGTCACATATGAAAACCTCCCAGGTTGATAGACCTCTGCTGATAGCTCCAGTAAAACTTGCATCCCAAAAAGTAGGAATATATTCAATTTTTTAAATACCTATTAACAAAAGAG